TTCTCGACGTCGGGGAGGCAGCTCCAGGCATCAAATGTGGCGACGGGTGACCTCAAGCTCGGCGAGATCTCGAGCGTGCGCGCGCCATGGAGCTAGGGCCCTAGGATGGTGTAGATGGAAAAATGGAGGCGCGATAGAGGTCCTCGGGCTTTATAGGTGTGCCAGGCTTGGGGATCACGCCATATCTCGGGGAAATCGGGATTGACGATGGCGATTTCAATCGAGTAGAGTCTATGTCGGCTATGTGAGGAGGAAGAATTGGCTAACAGCGGGGCCCACCTATCGATGAAATAAGGGCACAGGGTCGATCGGTCAGCAAAACAGAGAGGAAGGGAGAGCGCCTGCGTGGCTTGCTGGTCCGGCCTGCTTTGCGGGCCGCGCGAGGGGAAAGGAGCTGGGCCAGTAGGATGGGAAAAGAGGGGAAGGTGCTTGGCCTGAGGGAGCAGGCCAGGCCTTGCTGGCTGCCAGGCCAAGGGAAGGAGAGAGAGCAGGCCTTCGGTCCAAGACGTGAGAAGAGAGAGATTTTCATTTTTTTTCCTTTTCCTTTATTTCATAGTCTGCTCCAAAACTATTTTGAAAAGTAATTTGAATCACTTTGAATTTTGGTCAAAACCACACATCACAATAAAGAATATGCACCAGCATGTATGCAAGAAAATGTTGCTAAGCCTTATGATGAATTTTAATTTAATGATTTTTTTGTTTTCCTATATTTTCATGAGCACAAAAATACAAAATTAAATCAATTTAGCTCTATTTGCAAAGAAGCAAATTTGAGGGTGTTACAATTCTACCCCTTAAGATGAATCTTGTCCTCGAGATTCACCAGACTAGCAAGAAGGATAAGGATATTTTTCAAAGAACAAAGGTCACAACCGACTTGAAAGCAAAAGCTTTGTGCTAGAGAGCATAACTGAACTTCATATGGCACCTTGAGTGTTCTGACCCTTCTTGGCTAGATAATCTGCATAAGCGTGATCATCTCTCATATTGAGCTCCTCTAATGGTGTTTGTTCCTCTATATTGACATATAAAAACTCACAGCCCACTTCTATCCTCAGTGTACACACCTTCCATTAGGTTATTCTCATATTCCTCGGGTGCAGGTCGAATACCCTCATACTCAATTCTTTCTCCTGAAGGTGTTGTTAGAAGCACCGAATGTTGGGCATACTTAATTACTCCTTTACAAGTAGACAACCATCCCATTCCAATGATAACATCAATGTCCATTAACTCCAATACAATAACGTTCGCCATGAAGTTTACCCCCTTTATGGCAAGACTAACTTTTGGGCATGTATGGTCTGCCTTCATTTCTCCTCATGGAGAGTTAACTATCACCGGTTCTCTCATTGGAAGCATAGCTATCTTATGATCTTCTACATATTCCCTAGAGATGAATGAATTTGAAGCACTAGGGTCAAACAACACCATGGCAGGAGTTGAGTTTACTGGAATTAAACCACACATGACCTCATGAGTGGTAATCATATTCACATTGTTCAAACTTCTAGGGATGTAGTTTCGCTTTAATTTATTTCCTTGTACCTGTTTCTTATGGACATTCTGTTCTGGCTCCTGCTGCTGTTGATTCTGGCTTTGATTACTTTCAGCAAACTTCTCAAGACAGTCATTCTCATAATGTTCAATCTCACCACAATCATAACCTTCCTCACTAGTAGGAGTATTGGTCTTCATCAAGGTGATAGTATGAGGTGATAGACATGGCTCTTGAGAGCTGAAATGCTGCAATTCATCATTGGGTTGCTGATCCTGATCCTGATCTGTACTCCCAAGTAGATTCATAGAGTGTGACTAATATTCTGGTTGTGTAGCAAAACGGAGATGAGTGTTTATTAACTAGCGCTGAACGTCAAGCTTTTTCTTCTTCTTTCATCTCTCGACGCTTGTTCTCAATTACAATTGCTCTATCCACCAATGTTTGATAGCTGGCATACACAACGGTCATCAGCTGTAGTTGCAAACCATGATTTAGTCCTTTCAAAAAGTGTTTTTGTTTGTTAGCATCACTATCCACCTCTCTTGGAGCATAGCAAGACAACTGAGTGAATCTATCACGATACTCACACATTGACATGGAGCCTTGCTTCAAGTTGAGGAACTCATCTTGCTTAAGTTCTACCACACCTAACGGATATGGGGTGGCTTGGGGTTCTCCCTCTCAGTCTCAGTTGGATGAGAACGACATGGAGGCCTCGTATTTCAACGGTAAAAGCATGGGGAGGAAGATGGAAGCACGGTGAACTCACCTAGGGGCTCTACGCGGGCGATGGAGTCTCGAAGTATCATGGGACTCGATGGGGTAGTCGGTGACCACTTGCAACCAACCGGCGGCGGCGTGTGAGCAACTGAGACCGAGAGGGAGAAGAAGAAGAGAACATACATCTTCTCTATCGTAGAGCGGAGCTCGGTAGCCGATTCTCGACGTCGGGAAGGCAGCGCCCGGCTTCAAAGGTGGCGGCGGGTGACCTCAAGCTCGGTGAGATCCCGAGCATGCGCGTGGCGTGGAGCTAGGGCCCTAGGATGGCATAGATGGAAAACCGGAGGCACGACAGAGGTCCTCGGGCTTTATAGGTGTGCCGGGCTTGCGGATCACACCATATATCCTGGGGAAATCAGGATTGACGACGGCGATTTCCATCGAGCAGAGCCTGTCTTGGCTACGTGAGGAGTAAGATGCTGCTGACAGCGGGGCCCACCTATCGGTGAAACAAGGGCGCGGGGCCAATCGGCTAGCCAGACAGAGAGGAAGGGAGAGCGCCTGCGTGGCTTGCTGGGCCGGCCTGCTTTGCGGGCCGCGCGAGGGGAAAGGAGCTGGCCAGCGGGATGGGAAAGAGGGGAAGGTGCTGGGCCTGAGGGAGCAGGCCAGGCCTTGCTAGCTACCAGGCTGAGGGAAGGAGAGAGAGCAGGCCTTCGGGCCAAAACGTGAGAAGAGAGATTTCCTTTCTTTTCCTTTTCCTTTATTTCAGAGTCTACTCCAAAACCATTTTCAAAAGTAATTTGAATAACTTTGAATTTTGGTCAAAACCACACATCACAATAAAGAATATGCACCATCATGTATGCAAGAAAATGTTGCTAAGCCTTATGATGAATTTTAATTTATTGAATTCTTTTTGTTTTTCTATATTTTCATGAGCACACAAATACAAAATTAAATCAATTTAGCTCTATTTCCAAAGAAGCAATTTTTAGGGTGTTACATGATCATAATGATAGTGGAACAACTTCCGTAACCAGGGCTGATCCACTAGTATATGCATCATGAGGCAAAGTAACAACAGAAGCACCAAATACTCTTTTCTCTAATTCATCAAATTTGGAGATAAGCTTATTCATAGCATGATAAAGTGGAGAACCCTCAATTATTTCACTTGCATTTTCCTTAGGTCTTGGTGTAGACATGACGATGCTCTCCTGACCCATTGTATCGGTGAAAATACCTTTGCAGCTATTGCTCCACATCCTAATTGAGGGGGTCAATATCAGATGCAATCGTCCTTTTGTGCCAGATGCAACGGTAATGAAAACACAAGAAAGATAGATTTGAACCAACACATTGGCTAGGTCAGAAAGAAGGATACAGCAGAACCAATCATTCTTAGTGGAGTCACAAAAAAAGTGTGTTGACACTGATTAGGTCGCCACACCAAAAGGAGCTAGATCGCTCGTTATAGGTCTTAGCCAACTTTTAGATCGATTGACGCCTAATGTATGTTCGCATACGAACCTGGTGCCTCCAATAATGAGCACGGTACGCAAAACGCACTGACAAGGTCTCTTGAAAACCAAAACCCCACATGCCCGAGAGAGACCCCGTTGGGGGCGTGCAGTGGCTATGGGCTGTTGTATTCATCTTGACCACTCTTGGGCTTTGTTGTCGTCGATCCACTGGCCATGCAGCAGCGACGAAGAACGATTGTGTAGTTGGATTACCTCAGTCGGCCATGATCCTCCAACATAAATAAAGTGAGGTGGTCTTATTCTAGTAGGATACCTTAAGGCGTAATCTTCAAGTTTCCCACGAGCTCGGAGCAGTTCCGATTGGCATCCAAAAAATTCGAACAAGGAACATCGGAAGTTCCGATGTCCATCGGTGATCTAAACTTCGGTCAATATCGCAACTTTCGATGTGGGAGGAACCTCGGTGCCCAATAGGCTTTTTAGGTATATGGGAACTTCCGATGCGTGTCGGAAGTTCTGAGATATAGGTCGGGACTTCCAATGTGAGGGCACTTTCGCAAGGGCATTATTTCTTCATCCGAACATCAAATTAAACGTTTCATATATGTTTTTTAACCATCTCGATGAGATAAACGCAATGGTAAAGTTCATTATGTATCTTGATAACTTCACAAAATGGATAATTTTGGTTTTCAACATGGTCTTGCCTATCTCGGCTATGGCTTTTTGTGAATATACCCAGGGCTGTACAAATGTATTAGTTTTTTAAGGAAAGTGACAGCCGGAAAAATCACTTTTGCAAATTTATTTGTTCTTTTGTTTCATTTGTTTGGTTGCTATAGTAAATCGTAAGACAACTCATCAAAAGCAAAGAAAAAACAAAGAGAATGTGCAATCCATTGTAGCGCCAAGACTTTTCCTGAGCCCGCGAAAACGAAAATTCACATCGCACCCTTTAAGGTCTCGTTTAGATTGCTTCAAAGTTCCACGTTTTTTCGTTCTCTCTCCATCACATCAAATTTTGGACGCATGCATGGAGCATTAAATGTAGGTAAAAAAATAACTAATTGTACAGTTTAGTTGTAAATCACGAGACGAATCTTTTGAGCCTAGTTAGTCCATAATCAGACAAAGTTTGTTAAATACAAACGAAACGTGCTACAGTGTCCGGATTGCAAAAATTTACAATCTCAACGAGGCCTAAGGCTGAAGGCGAACCATTTCGGCGCGTATCCGTCGCCGTCCCCAAACTGCACACCACACCGCGCCCTAGACAATCAAACCCAACAGTGATGAGCGCCGCAGGCAGGGATAGCCCGGTCTCCGGCAAGCGTCCGCGCGGCCCTGCCCTCGCCTCGCCGGCGGCATGCTCCGGCGGAGCAGGACTTTGGGGATCTGGCAGCCCCAAGGCGAAGCGTTGCCTCTTGGCTGGGGGTCCCAGCAGTCGCTCCACCTTTGCCTCCGCCGCCGCCGCCGCCGAGGTGCGTTTCTGCTGGGCCAAAATCCAACAGTTCCATAGTTTGGTTGAGTTCGGAGGACGTTGCATTGGTGGATTCAGATTGGCTGTGATCCAGAGCCTTTGGTGTGGAATCGGGGCATTTGTTGGTTCAGAACTTCAGATCGGTTCTGCGCACATTACTAGTCCATGGCTGTTCACTTGAAATGAAATCCACAAAAATTGAATGTTCACATGGCCCTGCGTTTGCATAGACAGGTTCGATGCAATGCCAGTGTAGATTGATGTTCTGTTATATAAAGTTCAGAGCTTGATTCCATGATACTCATTGCAATGCGGGAATGTGGTACCTTGCATATTGGCATTTGGGATTTTGGGGGTTCCATTGATGCTTGTCAGAGCAGGAACAGTGTATTAAATGTTCCACTACTCTAGCATTCCTCTGACGGGATTTTGTGGTCACCGTAAAGAGGCACACCAATCCCTTCTGGCGTACAATTTGAGCGACTTGTTTTGGACTATTTGCGTCTTCCTGATGAAGTTTTGGGACACCCCTTGTAGGTGGACTAGCTACGTCGTCGACAGCAGCTGATCCTTCTTGCTGGTGCTATGGCATCAGTAGCTGTGTCCTACATTGCGGTGATGAGGAGGCGCAGGAAGTACAGCGCCCAGCAGTTTGCTCGACTCCATGACGCCATTGTTTGTCTCGCATCTGCTGTTCGTGCTACCACTGCTCCAGTTGAACCACACCCTGATCTGTACCCCACTGTGATGGGCGTCCCTGGCTTCACTAAGGAGCAGCTTCTGGTGATGTCTGAACCGCATCGCGCTGTGGATCGAGCACATCCTCGCCAAGCAGGAGCTCTGAGCTAGCACTAGCAGGTGGGTTTAGATGGTTAGGAACTAGCAGGTGACAATGGCGGCTACCAGTGTACAACTCCCTTTTGGTGATGCAGTTGAGATGAGTTTGGTGTGACAGTAGTTGCAATTGATGATGGATGGTAGCATGACAGTGTATGCCGTGATTGTAGCAGCCATATTTGTGAATCTAGCTGCTTTGACACTTTGATAATCTCTAGTTCTCAATTCGTACTATTGTTGTTGCGCTGTTGATCTCTGCATAAGATGGATGGATGGAAGGTTGAGTTGAGTTTTTGCTTATCTGTCATAGGCGAGTAATGATGAATAAGTGGAGTAACTGTGATTGTGATACCTTTACGTTTTTGTACATGCTTATTAGGGTGGAGACAGCACAAACTGGGTTGCACCACTGATTGTAGCCTAGCAACTTCGTGAATTAGATTCGATTGGCCTGAAATCTCATGACTTTAACCAAACCTCATAAGACTAATGAAAAAGCAGAACTGCTTCATCGAACTCTGTATCTCATAAATCTTGAATTGTGAACAGGTTTCATTATCCCAAAGTCTGAAGTCTTTCATGTTTCTTTCTGTTGGTAATATTTCACAGAACTTGGGACGCAAACAAAATTGAATTACACATTCATATGGATGAGGAAGGACGAGGAGCCAAGAAATTACCATGGCAGCAATTTTTGTATTTCCTACACTGCAGCTAAAACGACAAAGCAAATGAAAGCGCAGGAGGAACTTGAGTGAACGCAGCAAAGGCTTCCAAAGAGGAGAGGAGAAGAAATGTCTGGTCACCAGGTAACGTGGGCCTTAATACTACTCAGTCCAGTTTCACCACGATATGCTATACCAGTTAACAAAAATTCTGATCGATCAGTCTGTCTGATGTGGCTCAACTACGATTCTACAAATAGTTCACCATGTCACTCCACCACACAAGTTCCAAAACGAAATATAAAGAAACAAATCCATTCAGTTGACTCAAACATCCAGCTTTGTGTACCCGCCATTTTGTCGTTGCAACTCAAACGATTTGTAGTAATAACAAATGCCATTTCATGTTCATGGCATTATCTGCATTCGTCCTTTGCTTGCAATTGAGAGTTCAAGGAAATTAATCTCCATCGTTGCTATTCCTTCAGAGCACCCGACAATAATCCTACACAAATTAGTGTACTCCCTAGTCATGAATTTGACATGGGCCAGAAGGAAAAACAAAGTATGTTTCATCAAAATTGAAGAAAATGAGCGAAGATTAACAAAGTTTTAGTAAGCAAACAATTTATATTCAACAAAATACATGTCTTAACCTACTTAAAATGTATTGAACCACATCATGTATGCTATTGGATATCCTTAGTGTCCTGTACCAACTAGATTCATAGCGTCCACTTACATGAACCATTATGAAAAAAATGGAGGAATATAAGAATTTTTTCTTATATAATTAGAGGATAATATATGATGCCATGGCGTAAAATTTATAAAGCAAATATGAAAAGGTGTCTGCTGTTCCAGTGGATATAGACTGTAGCCATCGGATAGTATAGAAAGTAAATAGTACTTTATAAGCCATGATGTTCATTATTCATCCAAAGTAGCTCATTATTCACTATTCATTGGAAGTACCGTAGCGAGTAAAGTAGCCGAGGAACAGCAACTTTTGAAGTACCTTTGTAACTCCTTTATATATCCGACATCAGAAACTGCTCCTAGGTTAAGAGCAATAATATTCTCAAGCCTGCAAGGGAAGAAGCTTATATATATTGTTAACTTCTTTGGTAATAAAAACTCAGATGGATTATTTCAGCCAAATTTGATACCAATCCATCAACTATGCGCACTGTATTTGCCCATGACAATTTTCATAATAACCATTTGTAACATTTGTTCTATTTTGACTAGTTCTTATTTGAACCTAATGCCCATATATGTATGTCAAAGGGATACCTGTAAGTAGTGGCATCCCAAATCCGAATAGTCCCATCAAGTGAACCTGTAATTAGTTTCTGATGATCTGGTTGATAGTAGACAACACTAACATGGTCTGTATGCCCTTGTAGGTATTCCCTGCGCCTATGTATCTCCAGGTCCCAGATCTGGTTAAAAAAAAAAGCCAGAACCCATTGCAATGGTATTAACCATGGAAACAGCAGATGAATAATATGAAAGTACTCTACAAATAAAGATGCAAAATGAAACCTGTGCAGTCCGATCCTTTGAGCCAGTGATAAGATGGTGACGATCAGCACCGGTGATGAAATCAACACAGACAAGGCCATCCTGATGCGTGTCCGACATAATGGTGTTGCACACATCACAGTTGTTAAGACCCCAGATCTGTGAATGTAACCATATATAGCAGGCCCGTTCAAAATAGGTTCTTGGAAAATGTTGATCGAACATCATAAAATCATTTCGTATTGTCGGTACGTTAGCACTTTAGTAAGGAAAACAGAAATCAAAGGATCACAGTAGTTATCTAATTTTCCAAACAGGAAAATAAAATTGATCAAACCTTGACAGTGCCATCCCATGATGCACTGGCGAAGCAGCCAGGGTCCTCTCAGTTAAAAATTAGACGCGACACTATGTCAGTGTGCCCCTCAAATGTGCGACTGCACACCCAGGGCTCCTTGTCAAAGTCCCAATACTGGTCCCAGTGCCAGAGCTTAATCAGGTGATCGTCATGAGACGATGACAGCACGTAGAAATCAGTGGGATGAACAGCCAATGACATGATGCGACCATCATGAGCTTCAAAGCTTGTGCTGTCTTGGCCTTCATCGTAGCTGTACACATGAATGCACCCATTGCCATCTCCGGCCACAATCAACTTCTCTTTTGGGATAAATTTAGCGACATAAACTACAATGTTACAGAATATTATTAAACATCATAGCATGATTTTAGAGAAACCAATGGTAAAAAAAATAAGTCTTGTTTTGCTGCACACATATCCACTCAATTCCACGTGTGTTGGGGTGGATTGGGGGTGCAAAATTCCACTCGAATACAGGTTGAATGAGGTGGATACAAGTGGTGCCAAATAAGGCGTTAAGTGGATTAAAAAGATTCCATGCCTCGTTCATCTTCAAATGAATTCAAGGCTTGCTGTGGATAAATGAAAATATGAGCTAATTAAGTTTAATCTTCTCATCAAAATTAACTGTAGTACGAGGCACATGCATTCTACCAAATGAGTAGTGAGTGCAATCACTACACCATAAACCCCCCCTCTAGCAACATATGCCACAACGGAAATAAGATGTGTTCCCGTCCATCCCTCACGATTCAACATAAAAACAACTTCCCCCACCCAGACTCCCGATCAGCACACATGTCCTCAAACCAATTTCTCCCTGGCCCTCTCACGTAGGGTTTCGCATCGCCGCCGGGCGGTGCACTTCGCTTGATGCGGCTGTGGGCCTCGTGCGCCGACGCCCGCTCCTGGATCGAAGTAAGGATGATACATCGATACTCCCTGTATCTTTAACCCTTCCATGGATCTTTAACCCTTTTTCGAGGCTCTCCATCCAGTCTGCTCCGCCATCTTCCTCTAGATGGGATCTGAAGGCATGTTCCTACAGGGCAGTCACGACCCTCGATCATGTACTGATCAATCGGTTCGGTGGTGAGGAGAGGGGATGCGCCTGCTAGATCTGATGGACGAAGCTGTCTTCTCATCCCATCTGCATTGTTGTCGCCTTCCAGACGGTGCCTTCACATCTACCCCAAGCATGTATCTTCCCCAGCCTGTACGTTCTTAAATATTTGAATCAACCTATGAAATTTAGTGCACTAATTGTATTCAAGCCCAGATGTGTTTTTCTGTCAGAGATGCAGGGTCGACAGTTGTTTCAACTAAATATATTTGACAAGACATGCCAGCAAGTGTTTACAGGTATTCGTTTCTTGTTGGTGTGCAGAAAAGGTAAAAAAAATTCAGTAAATGTTCTTACTTTTTTTTGCAATTTTTACTGCCTATTATTAAATTAGAAATTAATAGCTGGATTGGTGATAGATATCTCACACCATCTACTTGCAGTATCAATTGTTGACTTGTGAGTAGGATTTCCTTACTATTTTCTTTTACAGGAATATAACTTGATGTTGCATTGGTACTTTTTCGGATCAGCTTTGTGAACTGCTTGCCTGGTGCTCTTTCATGATTGAATAGGCATTTAATTTTGTCCCAACAGTGACTGATAGTGCAGATGGAATAATTAATGACCGAAAGAAGGATCCGAGTGAACTTCCCATTGACAGTAGTACTTCTGAAAATCACTCATTGTTTTGATCCCTTTTAATTAGTTTGTTCATGCATGTGTGGTAACTCTGCCTGGGGCGCCTTTGGTGTCCCAGCATAGTAGGTCCCAAGTCCTGGTAAAGGAGTGTTGTGTTAGGCGCGGCGAGCCAATGTAAAAATTTATCCACTTTAATGGAGATGAAACCCAAAAGAATCCCGTTGGGGCATAACCCTCTTAGCGACGCGCCATGTCGAAACCCAGGTATGGTGTTAAATGAGCAAGGGACGGGTCGTCACCCCCGTGACGCGCCGTGTCGCGATTTGGACACGGTGTCAAGTGAGCAAGGATCGGGTCATCGCATCCTTAGTGGCGCACCACATCGGCGCCCGGGTGTGGTGCAAAATGAGCAAGGGTCTTCACACCTACCTCGGTGGGTGCGAAGGGTAAGAAAGCTAGTCGAGCCAACTAGGATCCGTTCAGGTAGCTGGAATGTAGGGTCCCTTACAGGTAAGTTAAGAGAGTTAGTGGACACAGCAGTTAGGAGGCGTGTAAATATCTTATGCGTCCAAGAGACTAAATGGAAGGGGCAAAAGGCGAAGGAGGTGGACAATACCGGCTTCAAGCTCTAGTACACAGGGACAACTTCAAATAAAAATAGAGTAAGAGTTTTGATTGATAAGAGCCTCAAGAATGGTGTGGTGGAGGTGAGAAGGCAAGGGGATAGAATCATCATAGTTAAACTTGTCATTAG